AGTTAAAATATGCCCATCACCCACTCATTCATTCTCTCCACAGCCTTGTTGCTTCAACACAAAGTAGCAGCAGCTACAGGAGGCAGGGCCCCTCCCCAAAATGGGCATCAGCAGTGGGCAAATAGGGCACACATGGTATTCTCCACTTAAGACATTTTTAAACATGAGCTGTGGGTAAAATTCCAGAGAATTGGCTACAGAGTTTACCCGCAGTCTGCCTTTCACACATGCAAAACACAGCCGGAGGTTCTATGCACAGATGTGTTCACAACAGCATCAAATACTCTTCTGACATCTTTGTCAGTGCCTGCTACCTGTGTGACACTGCTTTTTCACCAGGAGATATTTGTATTCTCTATGTAAGAAGCGGAAAAAAGTCTGCAGGAACATATCAGAGCATATCACTTGGACATTTGCGTTCACACATGCTCCTCCCTCTGCAGAATATACTGAGAAGATGCAGAGTTCAGTGCATTTTCTCGCTGATTCTTGTTTAACAGGTTAGATTGTAAAAAAAAACAAAAAAAAACAGAAGCCTTTCACATTTACCACAACAGTTAACTGCAAAATAACAATGTTAAGGTTAAAATCCCTATCTTAAAAGCCTGGATCTATAAATGGGCAGGCAAGCTTCTACTCTGTGTGTGTACAATACAGGAAAGTTATCAAAACTCCACTCCTGCACTCAGAGCTCCAGCCTGACTTTTTTTACAAGGAGCACTGTAGCCCCTTTGAATATTTTAGGAACACAAGCAGAAAATTTAGGGGCACACCTTAAAATGATGCACTTATTCACATTTCCCCCCATAAATAGACAACTTACAGATATTATAATGTCAGGGCTCCAGCACTAGTTTTAGGGGCACCAGTATGGAGCCAAATCCAGGCCAAGAGTTTTGATCATTTGAAACCGAAAGTTCAAGTTTTGGTCTTGAACATTGAAAAATACAACAATGTATTCAAATTTTATGGGTTAAATATAAGTTTGATTCAGTTCTGGAATAGTTTTCAATAAAATATTTTTTTTCATTTTTCACTTTCATATATATTTTGATATTTTATAGCCATTCAGACTATGTTTTAAGCCTAAAATTGCTTTCAGTAAAGGGAACTTCCTCTTGCCTTAGAGCACCCCCCCTAAAAACCATTAGGGCCTGGCACCTCTTTTGCCCTGACTGAAACTAATCTGTACAGCCTCTGGCATCAACCTCCTCAAGCTAGTTCCCTCAAGACTTATTCTAATCAGCTCCTCCACAGTCTCCCCATCCTGGGTCCCTCTGACATCAGATTTAATCCTTTTCTGTGCTAATAATCCTGAGATATTATTCTGAAATTGGCTATTCTGTTTAAGTAGATGCTGATTCGGGCTGGGTATCCTCACACTAATTTCCCAAATTGATTTGACTCATAAGTTCTCGATTCAACATCGATTCAGTTAGGTATATGTCAGTCTACAATACCCATTTTACTTGAATATGAGAACTAAAGCTGTAAACTGTGAAAGGAAACTTCTAACTTGATGCATTATTAAAAAATATCATGTTAGGCCTGTCATGATAACAAATTTTGTTGAATGATATATTGTCCCAGACATTGTTGTGATGAATAATATTATTATCATCATTTTGAAACAATTTCATACCACTGAAAAAAGAATGATATTAGAGCATAATCCTTCAGGTACACCCCTTCAAAGAGCAATGAACTTTCTATTCATAAAAAATATACGATCTCACATTTGAATTAGAATTAAAAAACATAATATCCTCAATAAATAAACAATTAATAAAATACACCATACACAGTCAAAACAGTAAATAAAATGGACTCTCTGGCTCTGTTAACAAAAATTGCTCTTGAATAAGATTTAACATTTTGCACAAGGTATGTGTAACCAGCTCGGTAAACAGGATGGGATGGTTATGATTTAAACGACAAACTTACGATCATGTATTTAGTTATTAATCGATGGTGTCGTATCAGGAATCCTGATCGCTCCAGTCACTTTAACCTTTTGTTCGCGGCACATCTCGTGTTGTACTGAGCAAATCAAACAAACACTAAGTAAACTTCATGTACTGATCAGGTCCTAACAACTTGTGATGAGTGTTTATTAGTTAACGTGAGAGCAGATAAGCAGAAGAGTAGAGGAGAACAGAAACCTACAGCACAATACAAACCAAAAGCAGCGATGCTGATCATTGAGTGTGATATTTTCAAGTTTGTGCTGCAAGTAGCTATAAAATTTACTTGTGCTGTCTCCAAAAATAGTTGCATTTTGCGACTATTTGGTTGCAGTCTGGAGCCCTGCAAACTAGTTGATAACTTTGTCAATAGTACAGCAGCCTTATTACAAATAAACCTTGACACTGTCAATGCACTAAAAAGTAAATCTGAGGTGATTAGTTCCATGTTATAATTCTCAAATACGTGTTTTAAAACAGACATCATGAAAGCTGGAGAGGAAGTGGCGTTCCACCAGCCAAGATGATTTTCACCTAGGCTGGAAAGATAGCCTGATAAATTACAAGAAAGCACTCCAAAATGCCAGAACCTCCTATTATACATTATTTATAGAAGAAAAAGGGAACAACCCCAGGTTCCGCTGCAGCACTGTAGCCAGGCTGACAGAAAGTCACAGCTCTAACCCATCTTTTCTTCTAACACTGAGGAGCAATGATTTTATGAGCTTCTTTACAAATAAATAGCCATCGGGGAAAAAAATCCACCACCTCCTCCCCATGAACAGCAGTTACATTGTCTAGTACAGAAACCAACGAACCATCTGTTGCAAACAACAACTATTATTATTATTATTACATGAATTGTTGCTGCTATCATTAATAGCATTTTTACATAAATAACTATCCATTTTATTGTTTTCATCACAAAAACTATTCTGTAAAGCTAAAACCTGATGGTACACGACTGTTCCTGGTCTGTCTCTCCTCTCCCCCACCCATCTCTCCTCTCCTCCCTGTTTTTCTCTGCTCATCCCAACCAGTAGAGGCAGATGTCTTGACCTTCAATGTAAAGTGCCTTGAGATAATATAAATTATGATTTGGCTCTACCCAAATAAAATTGAATTGAAATTGAATTGTATTTCTTTTGAATACAATATTCATCCCCAAAAAATCCCAGGACCATTCTCAAGCAGCAGTAGGCATAAACTGGTGGCTGGCTGTTGCTTGGTGGTGGTGTGTATGCTGGTGTTACCTGGAAAACATGTCTGCAGGTGTTCAGTTAGGGCCTCCTGAGTGACAGGCCTGTGGGCAGAGTTCATCGCAGAGATAGCCAATAGCAACACCTCTCCCAAAGGAAAGAACTGCGATTGGCTGATAGGGGACATACTGATGGGTGACACATCACCTGTGAAAAGACAAAAGCCAGATAGTTAAGCTTAATGTTGCACTAATACATGATACCTGACCCTGTTGCATGAAGATGCATCCTCCATATGTTATGTCATCACTCTAATTCATAATTTCCTTTCACATCTCTACTTTTACCTACCCAATGAAGGGCAAATCTTGGCTAACAATTACCAGGAAGAATATTGCCTCTATTGTATTGCCAGATCAACTGAACATACCATACCATATTGCATTTTCTCCAAAAAATTTCTAGCTGCTCATTCTTCTACACTGCCAATGTATAATTGAGTTGAATGTAGGGCTTCAACTTTATTAAATATCCCCATCCCCAATCCCCAAACCGAATGAGCAAGGTGAGCCCATCAACACAGACGAGCCAGTGTGCCGAATTTGTTCAAAAGTGGTGGCTACAAAAAAAGGCAACACAACAAACTTGCATGCCCCCCTAAAGCATAACCACCCGACCCAGTTTTCCCAGTTGGGGAAAAAACTGCACCTCGAGATGCAGAGCCCTCATCCCGACAGTCAACACTCACTGAGGCGTTTGGTCGACAAAGTAAATAAAAACGAAACAGCACAAAATGGTGTACGCTCACAGAAAGTGTAGTTTGCTACATCGCAAAAGAAATGCTGCCCTTTAATACTGTTGAAAAGCCAGCATTTAAAGAAATGCTGAAAAAGTTTGACAGACAGTACGAATTGCCTGCGAGAAAATACATGTCACAAACGGCCTAAATGTTCAAAATTTATTGAAATGCAATTTTGTTTGTCGAGACTTGATAAGCCATTTTATTAATTTTTTTGGTTGTGTGTGGTTTTATATTTGAGTGCTGTTTTTCTTAACAGAGACGGGGTCTATTTTATTGTTTTTGGTTGTGATTTTTATTCAAGTGCAATTTTTGCTAACAGAGACTGAGTCCATTTYATTTTTTGTTTGTTTTATTTATTTAGGATATTTAAACGTTCTTGAAATTACAATTACAATGGTAAAAAAACACTGAGAAATAAAAGTTTATTGTATTTGAAAGGGTGTGCATTATTATGATGTATTATCATGTTGACGATAATATTGTTTATCGGCAATAATTTGTGGGACAATATATCGTCCAGCAAAATTTGTTATAGTCCCAGGCCTAAGCAGAACCAGACTCAATGTGGCCACGACCGGTTGGGGTGAGCTTGTCTGCTCATGGCGGAAAATGGGGGAGAGAAGAGAGAGATATATGGGGAGTGGAGGAGATGGGGAGATTATCTCTGACTTGTGAATTGGAATCTAATTGATATGGGAAATCAGTGGTGATACCCAACCCAAATAAGCATATACTTAAACATTTATAAGAAAAGTAAAAGTGCAGGATAATACATGACAAGACCTGGTCCTTAAGGGGATGTGCTCCAAAGGGAGAGGAAGGAGAGGCATAAGCTGTTTTCAGACATGACCTATGGTAAGTACCAGAGAATTGGCTACAGAGTTTACCAGCCGTTTGCCTTTCACACATGCACAACACAGTGGGAGGCTCTCTACACAGACCAGGGGTGTAATGGTACACGTAACCAATCCGAAGATTTCCGGTACGAGCACATTGGTTTGGTGAACCGCAGAAGTCTCAAATGCAGAGGGACAACTTTAGTGAGGGACTGGATGTGCTGTAGGCTTGTGGTCAAAGCAACTGCGGACAAACAAGGGTGTGAAGACCCTCCCTCTTCATATACAGTAAGTCTGCTGTGTGGGAACCTTATATACAATCTTTGGTGGGAACACTTCAGTGTTCAAGCAGATCATACAAAAGCTGTATGCAAACATTGCGCATCTGCTATTGGATATGTAGCTGGTAATAGGCCTGGGACGATAACAAATTTTGCTGGACGATATATTGTCACACGAATTATTGCCGATAAACCATATTATTGTCAACATGACAATATATCATAATAAAGCACACCCTTTCAAAGACAATAAACTTTTATTTCTCAGTGTTTTCTACCTTTTGCGATGTAGCGAACTTCACTTTCTGTGAGCGAACACCATTTTGCGCTGTTCCGTTTATATTTACTTTGTCGACCGAACGCCTCAGTGAGTGTTGACGAAGGCTCTGCATCTCGAGGTGCACTTTGTTTCCCCAGCTGGTTAAACTGGGTCAGGTGGTGATGCTTTAGGTGGGCATGCAAGTTTGTTGTGTTGCCTTTTTTTGTTGCCACCACTTTTGAACTGGCTCGTCCATGTTGATGGGCTCACCTTGCTCATTTGGTTTGGAGCCGAAATATTCCCACCCCGGCGCTGTGGCATTTGACTTTGCAATGCTAGCGGCCCCGCCTCCCCCCACAGAGACAAAGAGACTGGATGACTGACAAGAGGGTTCACTCCGTTCATTCTGCAACAAACGCCCCCAGGTGCTGAGGCCGAGCACAGAGTGAACCCTCTTGTCATCCAGCCTGCTTGGAGGCGAGAGAGGAGGGAAACAAACACGCATGCGCATGGCGATATATCGAGGCCGGCAAAATTATCAAGTTCATTTTAATTTATCGTGCGATTAATTGATTTATTGATTATCGGCCCAGGCCTAACTGGTAGCACATTGGACATGCTGACTCGTTAGAAACAGCATCACCAGAGTGATGTCCCACTAACATTGGAAATAACACTAACATTAGTGGGACAAAGAAAAAATTAGTTCCTTGTGTCAAAGCAATAATGAGCAACAGGTGTTATTATAGCAGCAGATAAGCGACCATTCTGTTGTTGAGAATGCAGGGTTCAAACAGTAGCTGAAAGTAATCGAGCCCCCGAAGTTCCCTCTTGTCAGCCAGTAAGTAACATTATACCAGCCATTTATAAACCTCTGTCCCCAGTGTGAGGGTGTTCTCCACAGCAGCGACATTGTAAAACCCAGTAGGGCCACCCTTTCTGCAAACAACGTGGACAAGTTAATTATTTTGAATTTAAAAAAATTTAATAAATATATTTCATAATGATAATCATAAAATACAATATCTGTGCAGTTTAAGTACAGTTAATTTTCTAAATGCTGCACCTTAATGGATATTTATTTTACGATTTTTATTTTTATTTATGATGTTTATTTTGTTATTTTACTTGTATAAATTACTTAGGTAAGACAGACACATAGAAAACTGAATCAATTATTCAAGGGTTGAATAAAGAGAAAAACATATTTTTTCTATTCCCCTTCTGCTGTACTGAAAACATACTGAACCGTGACCTCAAAACTGAGGTGCATACCAAACCGTGATTTTTGTGTACTGTTAAACCACAAACATAATATAGTTCACAACAGCAACAAAATGTCCACATTATTCATGCGAGAGGTAGTGCAGCCGGGTTCTGCAGGCAGAGACATTTTAAAAGTCAAACTAGGGCTGCGAAGCAGCACTGAGCAGGCCCGAGTACTCATGAACTCAGGACCTGATGTAGTCGCAAGGGGAGGGTGGTCAGGGACGGGCAAAACAGCTGTGTGTTACGTGCGCTTTGCGCACCTCGGGCAGGATAAATGCTTCACTTCCAGTGTCCGTCACGCAACACCGAACCAAGCCCACCAATCACACATCGTGGTCTATGCCATCAAGTGCAGACCACAACATGAACATTTTATGTAAATCAAATTAAAGTTGTAAAACAAGGCTTACTTCCTGTTGCCAGTAGGTGAGGCTATCACTACATGAAGACAAATAGGTCTGTTAAGGTCAGGGCTCTGATGAAGAGTGATCAATTTGAGGCCAATTGGACAATGCACATTTGAGTAAAAAAAATCCTGTTTCATGGCAAATCAGTAGGTGGCACAATAACCCTGAGTTAATATTGACATATGGAGCGGTTCAGGCCTGGACTGTGATCATAGGTTTTAATGTTGGTGATGATTGGACAATGCACAGTGGAGTTAATTACAAATTCCTGTTTTTGGCAAATCAGTAGGTAGCGCTATGACCCTGAGTTAATATTCACATATGGAGCTGTTCAGGCCGGGACTGTGATCATAGGTTTTTAATTTAGGTGCCGATTGGACAATCAACAGTAGAGTTAACTCAAACTTAATTTTCACACTGTTCAGTAAGTGGCACTATGACCCTGAGTAAATATAGACATATGGAACTGTTGAGGCCTGGTCCCTGATCATGTAACAGAATTTTGGGTCTTATTGGACAATGCACAGTGGAGTTAAAAATATTTCCTGTTTAGCAGTGAATCACAAGGTGGAGCTATGACCCTGTATTAGTTTTGACACATGGAGCAGTTCAGGGCAGGACTCTGATCCCATGTTGACATATTTGTGCTGATTGGAAAATGCACAGTGGTGAAAGTTTACGTATTCTGGAGTAATTTGAAATGAGGGTGGCTAAATGGTTGAACAGCGCCACCTAGAATGCACGCGAACGCAGCCCCTGAGTTTTCTTTTACTAATCTAAAAGAAAATCAGATTGGTCTTGGTCTCAAAACCGGTCTCGAGACCACTTTTTGAAGGTCTCGGTCTCGTCTCGGAATCGACTACATTTTTACTCTGTCTTGTCTCTGGTTTTTATTTCAAGACCGGTCAAGACCACAACTGTGGGGATATCAATAAATTGCCTGTGCATTTTTGGATTTACTTGTTAATATCATTACTATGATTTTGTGTAAAACATATTGCTTCGAGTACAACCAATAACTTGACTCATTTATCATTTCAAATTGAAACTGACAATGCACTTATCTTCTGGGCCAAAAACCATGACCGATTCCCACAACTTCACAAGTTGGCACTGAAGGTGTTGTCAGTGCCTGCCTCCTTGGCACCAGTGGAGAGGGTTTTTAGTAGAGGGGGCATCATAATTAGGCCCCATCGTGCACGAGGTCACAGAATGTTTCAGTCTCTGATATTTCTAAAATGCAACCAATCTCTACTTTGAAGTCCACGTTTTTGTGGTCTTTCACAATGTCCATGTCATGAGTTTATCATTTGTGGTGCGCATTGACTTAAATGTTTCAGCTCTGTAGTTTGTTCTGGTTTGGCATATGATTTCATAATTTTTGTGTGTGTTAAATAAAGATGGTTAAGTTGATTTCAGCTTCTTAGTGTTTGTATTTGTTTGCTTATAGAAAACAAAGGGAAAATTCCCACACATGAAATTCATCTCTGCAGTGCCTTTTGATTATTTTATCAAGTCATTTCATTATACAGACATATAATATAGGTCAACAAAAGAGGTGAATGAACAGGAATCTTCATTTGTTTTCTGTGGGTGTTTTTATGGGAATGTGGATTACTTACAGATGTATTTGAGGGGTGCCTATGGTTTGCATGTTCCACATTTTATCATAAGTGTGTCATGCAGTGTGGGACACTGGTCTGGTCTTGACTCTGTCTCACCCTGCCTCGGTCTTGGTCTCGACCCCTCAAAGTCTTGGTCTTGTCTTGGTCTTGATACACTGTGGTCTTGGTCTTGTCT